GGTGCTAAATACGTGTCACCTGAAAAAGCCAGTGTCGAGGAAATAACTCTACTCGGTTTTGAGAAGGGAAACGGTGAAGCCCTTGATGAAGTTACTGCAACTGATGTGATTGTTACCGATGATAGGACATTTCCTGATGAAGCAGATGAACCCCACATGAAGCAGAAGCCAACGAGACAGAGACCAGTACGGAAGAAGATACGTCCCGTAAAATTAAGAGACTTTGTTGAATTTTAATTTTGTGTTTGTAAATTCTGTACATTTAATTACCGTATTTGATGGCATATAGGACGCATGGGTATATAAGACACACCCCCATTTCAGCAGGTCAGATTCAGGAAAAAAAGTTTTTAGTGTATTTAAGCATATATTGGTGAAAGTAATCTAACAGCACATTACACAAGCAGAAAACACTTGAACATAAACTAAAACACAGTAAGAAAATGGGGATACACTTTAATCATCTTCATAACCAGAAAATTCTTCATCTTGAAAACTAGAAAAATCTTCATCTTCGTCACTACTGCTGGAATCACTGACTTCAAATAACACATTATCTTCTGTGCCATCAAGAGCATTGCTAATGCCACACTTCTTAAAAGACTTCACAGTGATTTTAGGCCTAACGTGATCCCAAGATTTCTTATTTCGTAGTTGGAATGCTGTACTGATCGTATGCTAGGATAGTGAGCGTTAGGAAGAAGATTAGCCTGCGGACGGTCTCAACTTCGCATATTAGACGCAGGGCGATTTTTTGAGCCAAAATTTTGGGAAATAAGTGCGTCCTAATTGCCGTCAAATACGGTATGTGAATATTATCAAAGCCGACTGAATGTAATTCTTCATTAAGGAAATTTAATGTGAATTGCTATCAAGGAAAAAGTTAGTATTTTATTGTATTTTTCAGGCCAGTGTCAGCATACGCTCTTTTCTTTCGAGACACTCAAGCAGCGATCAAGGGTCAGAATCCAAGTGCGAGTTTTGGTGAAGTTTCCAAAATCGTAGCTTCCATGTGGGATGGACTGGATGCGGAACATAAAAGTGTAAGGTTATAACCAAGGAATGAAATTTATTCTTAAAGATTTTCAAGAAAAGGAAAGAAGGATGTTCTAAATATCCTTAATCTAATATTTAAAGAAAGTGTCCTATAATGACAACATAGCCTAATATTTTCAACGAGTCACTTTTGTACAAAATAATTGTATCATCATTTTAAGAAGATTAAAATGAGCCTAAAAGATTTTTCATAATGTGGCAGGCCATTTCTGTATTAATGCTAAAAAATAGCTAACACACATATGCATTTTTTTATGAATACTTATAATTTTTATAATAGAACCATAACAATCTGCATGTCATGTAGGTATGATTCATAATAATAATTTTCATTTACTTTGATAACTTTCCTTCTGTAAAGGAAAATGACCATGAACAAAGATAAAGGACAATTAATGTAAATTAACCAAAAAATAAAAATAAAAAAGTCAAAAAAGATGATTTAAGTAAAGCAAAGACTGGAACAACAGGTGACCCAAATCTAGTCACAAGAGCATCACAATGCTGTTTTCTCAACTGTATCTATTTGATGCATTTTCGTCATTGTTAGTGTTTTATTAATTAACAGTTAATAAAATGGACAGCTGTGTTTTACAGTGTAATAGAAATTAAAGTTGTGATTTTATTGGCTGATTACTTTTTCCTTCAATTGAGTCATTTTCTACCAGACAGAAAGAAGTAATAAAATGAACAGCAATTAAACTGTCTCTTTAAGCTTTTACAACACCAAAAGGCCTAAAATAGATTTAGTTCATTGACTTTTTATCTGCTTAAACTTAAATAACTCCCACAGTATTCCAAAATTAGGTTTATTGTTTGAATTTTAAATTTATAGTAAATAGTCATGTAATTTTTGTTATACCCAGTGTAATTTGGAAGTGTCATGAAAACTTTGATAGGTAAACAAATTACACAATTTCTACTTTTCACATTCAGTATATTTTTGTTTGGCAAAGGAATTGGTAAAGGTATGCAGTATATACTGCATTCACTTTTAATTGTACTTTAACTGTTGCTAATATTTTCGTAAGTGTTTGATACTGCTGTATTATATGATTAGGCATTCACTTCTTGTGTAATTAGATGTACAAGAAAAAGACTGAAGCAGCAAAGAAAGAATACTTGAAAGCATTAGCTGCATATCGTGCAAGTCTTGTCTCTAAGGTAAACATGAGTGAACTGAAAAACATTTTTTTTTCTTTTTACTAGTTATTTATATTTAGTTTTTCCAAGCTTAACCTTCTCATTACAGGATGCATTTCAAAGAGGTTTTACTTGTCTATTGTAACATAATTTTACTCACATAATTAGTAATAAAAGGACTAAAATTGATCCACATCATTATTGTATGGGTTATTAAACAACCTACTTGCTTAAAGTAGCACTGAAATTAACATTTCGCAACTGGGTGAGTTCTTAAGAAACTTTTCCTAACTCAATGTTAAAATTAACATTTTCACTACTGGGTGGGATTTTTAAGAATTTTAGTTGCTTAAATTAACTCACCAGTTAGGAAAGGATTAATTGTTTATTGTTCTTCCTGTAATCTGTTATAGATTGATAAGATGATACAGTGGATAACTCGTTTTTGTTTTATTTAACTCAAAGCAATAGTATATGTATATATAAAACCATCAATCATGAACGTATTATAATTGGTACTAAAGTAAGAGAAATAGGTGTGTGACAAGTAATAAAACTAACAATAACTTATTATTTCATTTCCATCAAAAGTTTTTGGTATACAAAAAAAGGTATAATTTTCTAACATAAATATTTATAAATGATATATTTGATTGATTTGTAATATTCTTCAAATTGGTGTGAGAGATACTGAATATTTTGTGTTTATCAAAAATTAGAAACATGTGGTGGATTATCAAACAGAAAGTTTGAAAATTAGCATTTAACTTAAATTTTTATGTTATAAGGCTGCTAATGATCAGTCTGATAACCTGGGAGGAAATTCAGTAACTTCAACAACGATGATGTCTTCGACTGCTTTGTCCAACTCATCATCAAATCAACAGTCATTATCAAACTTGCAAAAGAAATCACCACTGTTGACATCTCTTATAGAAGGTTCATCAGTCTCTGTGGCCATGACTCAACCACAACCACCAGTTCTTTCCAGCCAAGTATGGACAATGGTAAGCTGATAATTTAAAATGCTTATATATTTCTTTACACTAATGATAATATTTTGTTTAGTGTGTTTCTGATACAAATTGATATCACAGTTACTTATTTAAAGCATCATTTCATTTCTGTTTCACCTACACTTGTTACAGAACCTAACTTATTACTGTATGTATTATTTAATCACTTAACTGCTACTTAAAAATACCTGGTTAATGACTACATAGTTTCTATTATCTTAAGCTCATTGTTTTGTATTGAAAATATGGAGAGTCATTTTACTGTTGTCAGATTTTGTAAGGACTGATTCTTTACACTAGGTGTCTACGACTTGTTCTTGATAAGTTTCAACTTATAAATAAATAGCAACACAGTCTACTTTTTTAAAATATATTATATAATCAAATCAAACATATTTATAAGTGTTCGTTAGACTGCTTGTTACCACAGTTGTATCCAGAGCTTTAAATAATTTTCTCTTTTTTGTCAAAGTCCACATAGACTGGTTCGGTTACTTTATTACACAATTAAGAAGACTAATTATTTGTCTTTACTCTGTTATTACAGTATGTGATAATTTCACTTTAATAATCACCGCTATACACTCTTTATCACTAGACTCACAGTCTATAACTAGAACCCAATGCTAATTTTTGACATGTACTTTTACCCTGATAGAAGTGTGGAACATTTCATGGAATACTAGATATTCTGATGCAATAATACTCAATTAAACCAACAAGAAACTCAGAAAGTTCTAGCTCATAGCATTTTAGCAAGGCCACCTTTAACTTCTCATAGTCCATGGCATCTTCTGACATCATGCCCACATATTCTTTTAGGCTTTTTTGTGTGAGAAGAGGTACTGAGACAGACTGTTCAGTCACCTTTCTCCCAATTCTGACTTTGGGTGAATCTTTCATACCATACCAGGAAAACATTCCATGTTGTCTTTCTGTTCATCAAATTTGGGTAGCTTGGGTCAACTGGTCCTGACCCCATTGTCTTTCTGTTTGGTGAGCTTTGCAATCTCAATTTGTGCTCTTATTCTCTCTATTTCCAGTCTCTACTCTCTCTGTTTTTGGGCTTGTATTTCATGCTTACATTCTTCTTTCTACCTTTCTCTGTATTCCTCTCTTCTCTGCCACTCCTTCTGTCTTTGCTGTTAATGCTTTTCTCTCTCTGGGTCTTATTGTTGTTTGACAGAATCTCAAAGATCGCCAACTCTGAGTCCAAGTCACTATCCACTTACCAAAGTCAGTCAACAGAGTTATATTGTGTGTTGTACCCTCTATAATATTTTTGCCACCACTACAGCTGTGTATATGTTGACCTCTTTGCCATTTTTTTTTTCACCATTGACTGCCATTTACCACTGTAGATCCTGGATGGCTCACCACTCAGGTTTTGTAAGACCTGATTCTATATTGTAGGTGTCTGTGACTTGTTGATAAACTTCAACTATAAACAAACAACAACACAGTCCACTTGTTTGAAATAATATATTAAAAACAAATCAAACTTATATACAAATATTCATTACACTGCTGGTTACCACAGTTGTATCCAGAGCTTTAAGTAATTCTCACTTTTTTTTTGTCAAAGTCTACATAGGCTGGTTCAGTTACTTTAGAACACAACTGACAAGACAAATTATTTGTCTCTACTCTGTTATTACAATACAGACTGTGATAATTTCACTTTAATAATCACCACATTACTCTCTTAATCACTAAACTCATGATCACACAGTCTAGAACTAGAATGCAATAAAGAAACTCAGAAAGTTCTAGCAACATGATATAATAATCTCCCAATATTGTAAAAGATCACTAATTTATAACATTTGAACTGCACAATGTATGATTTTTAAACAATTATGTAAACGAACTTACCATAAAATATCATTTCTAAAAATAACCAACTATGACACTTGCACTACATTAATGATCTAAATAATAATGCTCACTTTAAACTGAAACTAAAACAGTCATGTGTGTTTAATAATAAGCTCCTCTTCAAGAAAAGTATTTACAATATTTTATTTTATATAAAAAGGCTGTCCACAGTTCATACTTCAGTCTACTTGTACAATCTGCACCAAGATTTGTAGTCACCTTAATGACCTCAGTATGGAGCCAGTAGTTCTGGAGGTACAACATCCACCTTGTGATCTTCTCACTGTCATGTTTTCACCTCTGGATGTATGCAAGGGGCTAATGGTCCATCTGGATAATGAACTCTTTCCTATAGAGGTAGTTCTGAAATTCCTGGATGGCAAATATGATGGCCAGACATTCTTGTTCAATCACAGAGTAGTTCTTGTCACAACTAAATAGCTTTTTACTTATGATGTACACCTCGGGAAACAGTCCATTTCATGTTCTTGTAGAGGTACTGCTGCAATTTCAATGTCTCGTGCATCAGTCTGAACAATTAACGGTTTTGTTGAAGGACTGGCAAATTTCCTAACTTGTTTTTTAACTTCTGGAATGCCGTCTTCTGTGTTTATTCCCACTTCACCTTGTTGGGTTGGCCTTTCTTGGTCAGGTTAGTCAGGGTGCAACAAATTCAGCATAGTTTAGGATGAACTTCCTATAGCATCCCGCTAACTCCAGGAAGGATCTGACTTGCTGCTTTATCATTGGTACTGGGGCATCTTGTATGTGGGTTAGTTTCTCTTCTTCCATGGCCATTTGTTGGTCACCCACCTTGTGTCCAACAAAGTCCAGTGCAGAATAGTTGATATAGCACATAGATGGTCTGATGGTCAGAGCTGCTGCCCTCACTTGCCCAAACAGCTCTCTGAGTTTCTTGAGGTGGTCTTCCCATTTGGCTGTGTGAATCAGCATGTCATCCACATAATACTTTATGTTGGTGGTTTTATGCAACATCTTCCTCATCAGGTGGTTGAATGTCACTGCTAAGTTGACTAACCCAAACAGCATCATCTTGAACTGATAGCTTCCATCTTGTGTCACAAAAGCTGTCTTCATCTTAGATTCTGTCTCCAATGGGATCTGCCATTAACCTGTACTGAGGTCGATCTTTTTAAAAAACTCAGCCCCATTTACTTTCACCTTGATAGCCTCTGGGTTGCCCATAGATTCAGAGTCACACTTCATCACAAAGTTCAGCTTTTGGAAATCTATACAGTTTGAGCCACTCCTCTTCTTCACGATTACCACTGGCAAACATTAGGCTGAATTCCAAGGCTCAATGATTCTGGCTTCTAACACTGCCTCGACTTCTTGCTTGAACAGATTTTCTGCAACATCTTCCTCATAAACAAACTTACCATAAAATATCACTTCTTAAAATAACAAAATATGACATTCTGCTATTTAAACTATCTAAATTATAATGCTCATATTAAACTTAAACAGTTGTGTATGTCTAACAACTGTAGAGTAACTGCTTGTGGTGTACTAAATAAATGGAGTATTTCACTAATGTATCGATCTGTAACTGAACAGGCCCATCCTATGAATGGTACTAGAGGAATGCACCAACAACCAATGCATCTTGTGCAAGTTTCTCATGGTACACCAGCTATGCTACACCAACAGATGGGAGGTCCTGTGCAACAGATGCTACCAATGGGTAACCGATCAGCAATGTCTCAGATGCCACCTCCATCACAACCCGTCAGTTCAGCACCATCGTCATACTCCCAAAATGTTTCAACAGTAAGTGAAAGCAAGAAACTACATTAATAATAACAAACTGGACTTGCATACAGTTTCACATTCCTATGATATATTTTTTTTGTAAAATTTTTGTTTTAGTTATTTTTATGTGATGTCTGCTTTTGAATATGGCTTGATAAATGGCTTTGTATTACAATAATAAGTAATGCAATTTTAAATTGTATTAAATATATTAATGATGACGAGAAACCTACTTGAAGTAAAAAATGTTTAGCAGAGACGACTGGTAAAAGTATTAAAAACTTTAATTAAAATGATGTATAAGTTTTTAAAAACTGTTTTTGTTAACCTGAAGATGACCTAAGAAGGTTGAAACATTGTTCTTATACTTTATTTTAATTAAAATTTTTAATACCCATACCAGCCATCTCTGCTATACTGTCTTAAATGTATGTTTTCATATCTATTATATTTTCTTAATTATCAATATAATCTTGATCACTTAAGTTTACAAGAGAAAACAGCAAAAACATTTGTTTATTTTAATTGAATGAGGATTACATTGCTCGTCTTTAATTATTCTCATTTAATAAAAGTGTATCTTTGTGATATTTGAATCAAAGTAACTATATGTATTCACAGAATTGAGGAAAACAAAAGAATTGTACGTTTTACAAATACATCATTTATTCATGACCATGGTTTTGTTAGTGAAGACATCATGGTCGTGAATAAATGGTGTGTTTGGGAATTGTACAATTGTCTTGTTTTACCTCATATCTGTAATTATGGAGTTTCACCAAGTATCAGTTATATATGTATTCAATTTGTATACATATTTCTTAACATTTTTTTAAAACATCAACATGGCATCAAATTTTGTATTTCTTAAGTAAATGAACTATTAAGCACGTCAAGTGTGGTAAATGATATTTTATCAGTAATAAACCATATGGCTTTGTAAAAAACGTTTAATTTTATTTTTTATAGAGAAATGTGAAATCTTTTATCCTTGTATTCTCAACTGAAGATTAGTATAGAATTTGGTACCCTTTTCTCTTTGTCATTAATGTATTTCAGTCTGTACTTATAAAAAATATATGTGGCAAGTGTTAAAACATTCCGTTGAAGTAAGAATTACTTGTAGTGAAAGTCAGCTAAGTACTTGCAATGTTTTAATGTTCTGAGAAGGTTTTATCTATGTAGAGAGCTTCAATGCTAGGAAAAAGGAGTGCTTAATGAAGTAGATAAAAATATATGATCAGTGATTTTTAGATTAACATATGTTAATAGAACATATCAGGAGAATGTTTCTTAAAGTTATTTTTTTATATTTCTCATATTTATCTTATTCTGTAACAAGTAAAGATTGGGATTCATATTTATTTCAAGTAGAAATTCATTATGAATGTTCCTCCAATACTTCATTGGTATATATAGATGGGCTGTAATATTTCTGCATTTGCTGATGATATTAAGATTGGGAATGACTGACACTGTTGAGTGTTACTTTTATTCAGAAATACCTGAACATTCTTTGTGACTGAGCCTTATTAAGTGTGAAAGATGAGTTTCAAAGTTGAAATGTTTAAAATTATACAATTGACATATGAAATGTGGAAAAGACCTACTGTTTTTTGGTGTGAGAGGAGCACTGATATTCTGCAAAAAAAAAGGAGTTAAATATGGCAGTTAATAAAAACTGGAAGTTCTAGTTGAATGTTTAATTCTGATGAAAAGAACTAATAGAGTTGAAGGTTCAATTTAGAAAAGTCCTGAACTTAAGGGCAAAAAATTATTTGAAATATTGTATATTCTGTTTTATTATAGAAGAGATACCAACATGTTGGAAAGTGCAGGTGGTGACTAACAAAAAAATACTGTTGTAACATATTCTATCCATGAGTGGGTTCTTTTGGTAAAAATAATACCAAATGTAGTTCATGTAACCATGAAGGAAGGGGCAAGAGGGGGAATTTGTCCCCCTCTTACATTTCACAAAAAAACTGCACATATTATGATTTTAAACTTAACATCGTAGTTAAACGAAATATTTGTGTTTGCATTCACACATAACATATATTCTTTAAGTTTGTTGAGTTGACTTATACTTTAAAAGCTGAACACCTACGTACATGTTTTGCCCCCCCCCCCCTTGAAAATACTTCTGTGTGTGCCCATGCATCTAACAATAACAAACTTACTACAGTCACATTCAGTTGTAGGCCTAATTTCATAAATGCTTTTCAACATAACTCCAAAACTAATGTATCCTTAACTTTAAATACAACATTTCAGTATAAACTGAAGACGTATTCCTAACTTATAAAATTTCCTCACAAAGCTAATCAGTTAATAAACAACACTAACTCACAAGTTACTGAATGGATATAATAACTCTCACTGAATAACTTTTCTGACACTGAACTGATTCAGTCACTAAATACTTTACTGAATTCTCCCTAATTTCACTAATTGATTATTGATGTTTATAAATAATGTACCCTCATCTCTAGCTATTAGATGAAGCCTCTTGATTATTGGTTAGTAGCTCCGTGTAGCAAACAATCAAATTATAATATTGAAAATATAGCAACATAACCCCTTTTTGGATTGTGAAGACCCTTGAACATTCCTAATATACAAGTAAAACAGTACATTAAACTGTCCATTCACTATGTTGTTTTGGTGGTTTTCTCTTCTGAGGCCCATGTATGTAGATGGAATAACCTCTTGTCACTTATCATTATTGGCTATCTGAATGGTTGAGTGAATCTGCTGGTGGCTGTATCTTTTGTGGTTCTCTGGAAATAATCTTAGAACACTAGGCTTTTCCACAGATTGAATTTCTGCTAGCAGATTCTTCTCTGGAGTTACCCATTTAGTCATTCTCTCACCAACATGCTTCCAGAGGCAATCATGGTGGATGACTTTTGACCTGGACTGTGTGTCCTTCTGGATTCTGTAAACCACATCATTGATTTTTTTCAGTACAATGTGTGGTCTTTCCCAATACCTACTTAACTTTAGAGTCCATTCTCACTTGTAACAACAACTGTTTAGCCATACCATGTCACTTTGATGAAATACAGTCTTATCAGCATTAACATCATGGTGACTTTCTATTTTATTACATGCTGAGTTATATGTTTCCCAGTTAAGTTTACATATGACATTTTTACTCGTGAGACTCTTCCAACCATCAGTCCTTCAGGATATGTTAGAGTTTATAGTATCACTATGCTCCAGTAACTAGATGAATATTTATTTCTAATAACTCCTGGTATAAGCATTTCACTTCTTAAAGGTACATTGTCCACCTTCCCTGTTGTCTCTAGACGTTAAATCTCTGGTGTAGTAATTGCAAGTCTAATCAGTCAATAAACAACTCTAACTCACCAACTAACTAAATAGCAGAATACAGATAGTAATTCTCACTGAATAACTTTTATAACACTGAACTAATTCGCTCACTAAATATTTCATTGAACTCTTCTTAACTTCACCAACTGACTACCCGTATTTATAAATAATGTATCCTTCTCTCTAAATATAACAGGAAGCTTCTCATTATTGCATCATCATAATTAGCAGCTCCTTCTAGCAAACAACTAAATTTTAACATTGAAAATAGTATGTTGTTTAAAAACTGTACATTAGAAAGAGATAAAAGCTTAAAGATTTTGATTTCTTTTTCTTTTGAGCATAAAAAGACTAGATATAATTTAGATTTTAAAAATTTATAGTAGCTTTTATAACCTGTGTAGTGGTACCCTCTTTCAAAAGTGTAATGAAAAGTTTGAAAATACAAACTAGATTATGAAAGGTAATAATTATATTGTGTTAGAATTATAACTTGTGGAATTGTTTAACTCTTGATGTGATGTGTACTGTTATTTTAAATTAATTTGCACATCTATTGTATTAAAAGTACATAGATATAAGAGACTACCAGGGTCTTAACCAAGAATTTTTTTTTTTGAAACAAGAACTGAGCAAGCGTATGGCATCATTAGCTACTGTAATTTATTTTTCCTCATTTTAAAAAGCTTCTTTTCCAGATGTTGTGAAGTTAAGAATTTGTAGGTATCACTTCATAAAGCTTGTAAAGTTTGCATATAACTACTACGTGCAGATTATGAAAGTAAAATACAAAGCAATATTTAGGTTGATCTTGCATTTAGCTTTGTTTATTCCATTGGTTAGTTGTTTTGATAGGTAGATGGGGTAAATTATGCTCAGTACTTTGGCCGAGTTGTTTTCTGTGATCTTAATTAGTCTGTCTTGTGTTTTTATATAAAATAGTTGATTATTTCTTGGGTGTACAAATGTGTTACCCGA